AATATTTTTTTGGTTCTAATCACATTTCAATGAAACTTGGTACATTGTGCAGACCTTATTAGTTTTACACTTAAATCTGTTCATATTAGTTACCTTATTTGCATAATTAGTTTTCAGCTATTCCATCAATATCTCAAGTATAAGTAATTTTGAATTAATTTTTAATGTGTCTCCAAAACTCTCAGCACACAGGAGTTCTTTCTAAGCGTTCTTTGATCTATCATTTCTTTGTTAATTGTTGTCCACATGAACCTGCCCTAAATTTTGTTTACAGGTTTATGAAAGGTGACAAAGTTTGCGGAATTAATGTCATAAACAAAATCATCAATCATGTGACATTGAATTTGAATATAAATTAGCTTGAATTATTTTATATCTGTTTTCTAGATTGGAACCCGGTGAAGTAATAGAAGAAAATAGAAGCAATCTGATGACCTTGACAAAAAGATTCTTCACCGCTATAATATCTTCCGCTGATGAGTAAGTTTGAATTTTTAACGCGAATGCTGAACTTTATTCTCTGTAAGAATAGTGTAGACCTGAAGAAAAAACAAACAATCACACTTCCCACAATTGCACTTTAATAATAATTTTTCTAATGTTTCTCATTATTTGATTATTTGCATAAATTGTTTTTTTTTTAGTTTCACTAACTTCTATTGTAAGATCATTAGCAATAAAAATAATGTAATAATGATAATAAAGGAAAAAAGAAAAGGAATTTCAAAATTGGCAACTTGCATGACCCCCCAATTTAAGTGCATGAATTTTTTGTATTTTTCATTCAAAATAGGAATATTCTTCTCCAGTTGAACAAACGAAGTACTCTATTGGAGAATTATAATAGGTAACAAAAATACATTTTTACCTTGCCTTAGATTGGGAGAAAGGTTTATGAGGTAAAAATGTCTGTAGTCAATTCAATTGTAAGCTGTCATCCTCTGTAACTCAAAGCAATGATGAATCTTATTAAATTTTGAGATGTTGTCAACTGCTTTGAAGTCATTGACATTAGCTTGTTAAGGTATGGGTGACAAAATCATTGGTTAACAAATTATAAAAATACAGGGTTTTTTTTTACCCCTTTTAATTTTTTGAGAGTCAAAAGTAATATTTTTGACTTGTTCTCCAATTTTGCCATTTGTGTGTCATTAGAAGTTTTTTTTTTTTTTTGGCCCAAACTGTTCCAAACAATTATCATCTATTGTGCCATCTTATTCATTTATCGGTACACTTTCTATATCTATAAAAGAAGGCAAAGTTAGAATTGTTCCACTATGTTTAAAATTTAAAACAAAGCCAGGTAGTCAAAGATTTTAGAAGGTCTTGCTTATATGTTTTGTTTCATTTTAGATTCCCACCTCAGTTACGAAGTGTATGCCATTGTCTGTACCAGGTAGTAAGTCAGAGATTTCCCCAGCATAGCATCGGTGCTGTTGGTAGTGCTGTCTTTTTACGATTCATCAATCCAGCTTTAGGTGAGTGTATTTTTTCCTACCATCTTACCTAGTCTATAAACCCCTAGTTAAAAGAGATGTACAGATGTATTCAAAATGGCCGACCATGCTGTTTCAATATCTCAATATCATACAATATTGTACTTGTTTAATTATCAGATACAAGATGACTGAAAGTCAACTATTTTAATAATCAATCATAATCAAGACTCGCTTCTGGATACATATCACTGTTTATGTTGCAACTATATTACTATAAACAAAACTATACATCCATAATTTCATAACCAACGGGGACAGTGCCGTGCACGGCCTGTTAATTAATAACTTAATCCATCTGGATAGCAATCTAAAGGTAACTCTTACCAAAACCTGTAAGGAGACCCCTTAACCTAGGAAAAAATGTATCAAATGTTACATTTGGGGACCACCTAGGTGAGACAAAACTTCTGCATGCTCTGGTCTTAAGTTACTCATATCAATATGCACACACCGTAAATATTCTAATTAAGAACATTTCAGTCTTTTCTGGTGACTAAATTACAGTCTAATTTAGGTTTAGTTGACACCTATTCAAGAATACAATGTTTTATTTTGACTAGCATAAATGGAAGAACTGGGTATCATAAATTAGCTGTTACATGTACATTGCATTACCTCTTTAATCCTCAGTTTATCTAGTAATAATTAAATATTTCCTGTTTACGTCAATGCAAACAGATTGCATTCAATGTTGATAAATCAATTGCATGTTGCGTAGTATTTGGTAACATCCAGAAATTCCTGAATGTGTCCATCTGACACAATCCAGCATTCTGATTGG